CTGCCGGCCAGGGTCAAACCACGACACCCTGCTATCCAGCAGGAAGACCTGAACAAAGCCAAGCACAGTACAAAGCGTCCCTCTTAGGGAAGCGAGGAATCAGCGCACAGCACCTGGGTAAGTCTCAATCCGTGACAGACAATCCAGAACCAATCCAAAACAGGTAGAGAAGAAACTGAAAAGACTCATTTTTCCCAAGCCAAAGTGGCGTGTCACCAAAGAGCAGGGTGGGCAAGCCTTTGAGAGAACGCAGCTTTCCACACACATACTCACTGTGCCTAACTGCATTACCTGATTGAGTTCTTTCCTTAGCACCAGTACTTCTCCCATGTTCACATCAACAGAAAGGTAGTAGTGAGGTATTGTTTGTTTGGATTGCATCAGCCGCTGAGCAATGACCTGTGGGGATACAATGGAAGCGATGAAAATAAATCAAGTCAGAAAATCCATGACTGCAAATAATGATCTTGGAAAGGAGTAAAATCTTCTTACCCTCCGAATGTTGCTGATAGGGATATCTGTGAAGGTCCCCACTGGTGCTGCTGCAACTGCAGCAGCTGCAGGAACGGCATCTAGTGCTGGTGCCTGCAATCACAGGAAGACAGCATATTTCACAGTACTATCCAAGTATCACGTGTACAGAGCGTTTTTTTTTGGCTAAGTTTCCTCCTGCTTAAAAGCAGCAAATATTTCTACTCTCTAGCCCCACCTCTCCAGTACCCACTAAGTTCTTTTAAGTCCCATATGCAGTTGTTAAACGTGGCACTTGAGTGATTTAGAAATACAACACTGATATGCGCTGCTGTTAAGCTCTCGGAATAGTAAGTCCCGCTGGAAGGTTGTTTTACATACAGGCAGGTATGCTAGAGAGCGCTCTCCAACTGCACTCAGCCACATCCCTCCCAGCAGTACACAAAGCTACACTGCCATCATCTCACATAAAAGACAAGCAATGGTATAAGAACAGACTTGTGGCAATAATGATGACAGGCTCTTGGCTTCTAAGTCTGCCTTTCATTCAAATTGCTGCTTGTCAGCAATGCTGCATCCATTGGGACTGGACTCAACCTCCAGCCGTAACAATGTATTAACCACATGAAGAGTCTGGAGTGCACTTTTTTTTAGTTCCCCCCCAGTGAAACACCGAAGGGAGAAATAAAAGAAGAAAACTTTGCCCACGTTTCTGGCAGGTGAAGCTTTACAACTTAACAGTCACCATAGCCCACAGAGCATCACAACCCAACCAATCTGGCAGTAATAGTTCCATATAGCAATTGCACTTCTACAGACTGTTTCCACCTCTATAATAAAATACCCCTGCTTACAGATCTCCACCCTACTCACTGGAGCAACCTTTGGCGGCACAAATGACTCCACATCTTTCTTTGTGATTCTACCATCTGGTCCAGTACCTAAAAGGGTCAAAGAAAAACATAAGAGGATTTCAATTATTTGCAACAGTGGATTCCTTCTAAAGGTACCAGCTGTATTCAGCAAAGAGAAGTCATGTAACACAAACTCTGGTAGCGACAGCTGCACAGTCAGAATGCTCTCGACAGGGAGGAAAGAATAGGCAAGTGTGTAGCTAGAGGGACAGACACTTGGTAGTAAGAGCAAGGAAGGAGAAGGGCAACGTTACCTTTCACTTGGGCGAGGTCAATTCCTTTTTCTGCTGCCATTTTCTTGGCCAGGGGACTAACCAGGATCCTCCCTTTCCGGGGAGGTGGCCCAGCTGTGGGGACGGCTGGAGTGGAAGGAACAGCAGGCTGGGGAGGAGGAGCAGGAGCTGTAGGTGCCACCACCTTAACAGAAGAATCAAAGCCATTAGCTTCTGGACGGTTCAGCAAAAGCTTCGAAGGTACAGTAAGACAATGGGACCATCTAATTACTAGTCAAAAGAACAGCAAAAATAGTCTACTAATCTGAAAGAATTTTCAGATTCGGAGATGTTTCCTAGAAATTACACCAGACACTTCCTGGGAAGGTCAACTAAGCTGCTGAATTATGCACCAAAAAAAGGTAAAATAAATTGTGCTCTCAGTGTTTGAGGATGAGGCATTAGAACTGGCACAAGCAACAGGCTGGAGAAGAGATTGTAATGAATGACCATCTGCTCCATTTTCTGGAGGGCAAACTAGAGATCACTTTAGGTCTCTATCCCCAACAGGTGTTAGCCCTGCATTCTCAGAATCATGAACATTATTGTTGAGAACTAGGGCTTCACACTGTCAAACCAGCAGAACAATTCAGATCAGACCTCTTAATGGTCCCCATAACTTTTTTCACATGCTAGGAGTGTTCCTTACAAGTGGAGGAGGAGGAGGAGCTTGTGCCTTCATGTCAGTTACTGCAGTGTCTTGGTAGTCAGCAAAGGCTGGAATATCAGACTCCTTCTCCACAATGATGCAGAGAGCTGTTCCTAATGGCACATCTCTTGTTCCTTCAGGCACCAAGATTTTTGCCAAGTAGCCTTCCTCCTGCACTTCAAAGCCTGTAAATGAAGGAAACAAAACTGGTTTGGTGCCTGATGCAGCTGAACAGTTCCTCTAAATGCTGCTTCTAAAGATTCTGGAAGGTAAACCCCTGTGCAAGAGAAACCATTTCACCGCAACTAGTGGGGAAATACTTCCATGCACTGTACATTACTTAGAAAGATTGACAAAGAAGCAGAAGTGGTTTTAAGAGCTCCAATATGTAGTTCTACAATGAAATGAGAAGTTAACAAAACTTGTTTGAGTTGCTGCACAGCTCAACACCCTGAGCAGCCAGGAGAACAGCTGGCACAGAGGCCACTCTGACCCTCTCCTTTTAAAGGCACTTCATCCATTCTTGGCTGTGGAGCGGACTCACCTATTGTGGCTTTATCTGTCTCAATTTCTGCCAGTAAGTCTCCCTCATTCAGTTTCTCCCCAATTTTCTTCTCCCATCTCTGCACTGTGCCCATTGTCATGGTAGGTGACAGGGCAGGGAGAGTGATCTGTGAAGCCAGAGAACACAAGAGAATCAGATTCTGCTAATACAAAGAGAATAAGGACATGGTTTTAACTCCTGACTAAATGATGCCAACCTAAAGAAGTAGCCTTTAACGCACTCCTAGATCCGGCTCCATTATAGCACAGGAGAGCGCTCTCCCATGTTGCTAGTTTAGCTTCTTTCATCAAGGCCTAAGCAAGAAAGCAAGCAAAAGCCAGAGCTTACCACCATCCCATTGGGAGTGTCATACAGCTGCTACCTGCAAGGCTAAAAGGAAAACTGAAGCAAGTCGCTTTGTCTGTGACAAACAGACTCGGCCTCTTTTAAAGCTACACAGGTTTGTCTTCCAATAAGCACTCCAAGATGCTGTAGGTTTGCACCCGCACACTGCTGTACACCAAACACGGCAGGTGGAAGCACAGCTTCAGAGCAAACCTGGCCAGAATGGCAAAGTGTGCGAGGGAAGCAAGTTTAGGAGCTAAAACACAAGGCAGATTAAGAAGTCTTTAATTAATGCCTTGTTCAATTACTGACTTTGCATAACATCTCAGACAAATCAGTTACCACATGTATCACCTGTGGAATGAGGTTTAGTATTTCAAATTGTCTTCTTCAAAGGAATGACACAGAAATACCTTTCTATAAAGCGCTCTGATACAGTAACAGTGGATGTATGCTTCAAAATCTAAGCAAGGTAAAAAGATTATCCACAAGTACAACTCGTTATTAGTCAAAGACAAACCTATCTGGTGTGTTCATCAGAGCATGACAGATGCGAGTTCTTCTCTGGGATGTAAACAGAGCCTTCAGAGCTTAGTCACACTTAACACAAGGTCTTTTTACACCAGAACTGTTCAAATAATGCAGTGTAGGAGGTTTTTCTAGACTGCTTAATAATCCCAGAGAGACAAATCTCTCCTCTATCAGCATCCCATTGTAGCTGGGATGCTAAAATAACGTTCTGAAAACAGCTTTCTGTGACCTCCCCAAATACCTGCTTTAAGTGTGCACCAATTCAAGCAGCACACACTCCTGCAATTACAGCTGGTAACTTCCCGCTCCAGATATTATTTATGATAAAATGCTCTGGAGTGGGCAATGTCAAAGACAGAAAAAGAGTGCCACAAGCCTTAAATCACCAGCAGTGCTCTCCTACCTGCATATGAGGAGGATAAGAGCTGCCAGGAGCCTGAGGAGAAGGCTGAGTTGGTGGTGAGGGAGCTGCAGCTTGAGGGGGAGGCACTGAGGTTGAAGCGGGGGTAGACGCTGCAGAATCTAGAGTATAATTTTTAAAGGCATCGACATATTCAGGCCTAGAAGAAAACACAGAACCACAAAACCAGTCAGGCGACTGTCTCCAAGCCTTTCTCACAAGGTATCCAAGAAGCCCCAATAGAGACAATTCAACTCAAGGGTTAGCAAAATACATACTTTTCTACGGTGATACATATTATGGCCCCAATAGGAACATCTCTTGTTCCTTCTGGCACCAGGATCTTGGCCAGGTAGCATTCCTCCACACTCTCAAAGCCAACTGTTGCTTTGTCTGTCTCCACCTTTGAGAGATAACAGGGTATCATTAAGGCAACAGAAAAGACCAGCGAGCTCAGGGCCTTCCAGTCTGACAGTGCAGAGTCACAACACACAAAGTGCTGGAAAAGCCCCTCTGCGACACCAGCTCTAGGTAAGTACGTTCTGACACAGCTTTAGTGCTGCTCCAGCTTGAAAAGAGGAAAAGCAGCCACCAGCTTTGAAAGGTTATTAACCAGCTGTTCACAACATCTGTTGGGATCTGTGGTCTCGAGCCCCAGACGTGTTCAGACAAAGGCACACGTGCAGCTCACTAGAGATGCAGCACAGCCTGTACCCCCAGGATACCTCTGCTATGAGCTCCCCTTCACCGATCTTGTCACCCTCCTTCTTTTCCCAGCGCGCAATGGTGCCCATCTGCATTGTGGGGGACAGAGCTGGCAAGGCCACCTGTGAGGAACAGAGCACTGTTACAGTCTGGCAGTAGGAACCCCGCGCATCGGGCAGAGACGGATCCTCCACGCAGCCCGGGACGGGGGGCACAAAGGAGAGCCTGTCTGCAAATCCTCAGCAGGTCCCGGCTGCCTCCAACCTGCTGGCAAGACCCCAGGGCAAACCAACAATGGGGTGCTGAGATGGTGCTGACCGAGAAGGGGAGAAGCTCTGCCGGAGCACCACGAGAGAGACCGGGAAGCAGGAC